TTAAGGGTATTTTTTTTTTTTTTGACCCTCAATTGCATACTTATCCGGTTGAGAGCAATAGTAACAGGTTTTCCTCCCTAGGGTTTCTCCCATGCACTGCTTATAACGTTGAGAGCAGTGGCAATGGGTTTTCCTTCCTAGGGTTTCTCTTCGACAGATGAGTTCTTTCATCCCTCCTTTCTTCTTACCCCTCCCTTCCTCCTCTTGATCTCCTCTTTCATCTTGTCACTATCTTGCTTTGGAAACTCCAACCCAAAGGACCACAAGGCAGCGGCATATTTGGGTTTTCTAGAATTTACATCTGTTGATTTTCGAAGGTTACGATTGGAATTGATCTTGCCAGTGAAGTGGGTTTCTCCTATTTAACTGGAAAAAATCTTATTTTGGCACATCTCCTCGAATGAGATCTAGGTGGGGGTCAAATTTGGTGAAACTGGTTCACACCAGTTCTCGATCAGCTAACTGATTACAAAAGGACAAGGATGCTGTCAGTAAAGCGGGCTATGGTCTGTGTGGGAAGCCTGCTATTCAAGCTGACAAAAGGGTTCTAGTTCCCTTATTGAGTTTCAACAGCATGGGTTTGAAGAGGTTCGGCAGCGATGGGAACATGATTGGGTAAACATGGAGGCGACTGAGGGGTCTTGTGTTTGTGTGGAGAAGGCCCCTCTTGTTTGTTCTTCTTTAAGAACAAATATGGCGGCAACTTGCGGGTTAGGGATTGTTTGTTGCCGGAATCCCTTGCTCTCCCTAGAAAACTAGTTAAATAGGTGAGGATGTTCAGTAGTTCTTAATACTCATAGTGACTCCTCTTTCTTCATTAGTAGTCCTATTTAGCTCATACAGTGATAGTAATTTCAATATCTGCATTGCAGATGTCTCTCTTTACTTAATTATCTACATCCATCATGGACTTAGTTTAAATCTAGTACTAATACTATAAGTTATGCTTCTGATTTTGTCTTTAAACTATTTTGCTTTTGGTTATAATGCCATGAAATAGAGATTTTACTGAAATTTTCATTACTTAATATATTTTTTATTTTCCATAAAAAAAAAGTATCATTTTTAATATAAAAGAATTTGCTCTTCAACAAACAATCCCTGTTGTGCAGTTTTATCTATACAAAAGAATTGCTATGAATGGTTGAATAAGATGGACACGCTATTGTGGGGCTTTGGCAAGGGCAGGTGGTAGGTGGTCGGCCGTAGGTGGTCGGTGGTCGGCCGTAGGTGGTCGATTGTCGGTGGCCGCTGTATATCCTTAAAGAGATTCTTATTTTCGGACGTCTAGTCAATGAGATTAATATGTGTGTCAATGCATATTTTTCATTTTTGTTTATTGGTTCCTTTTATGAACATTTATTTATATCTGAATCCTGCAAAAATGCACTTTTGGTTCTTTTCATTTTCTTACTTTCTTCACTAAATATTCTTCCTAAATTATTTAGTGGATGGACATTTGACATTTTGAACATGAATATTTTTATTTGTTAAATGATCTAATGCTAATACTTTTTCGGTTCTTCTGATTGTGATTGTGGGTGGTTGAAGACGAAAAAATCTTAATTACCAATTATTCAAATATGCTAACTTTTGAAAATCGAGAAGCATCCTACTGTATATAAAAAGATTTAAAATTACAACCTATATTGAATTTTTCTAATGTACACCATAAATTCACCTCTATCCTTATGACAAAAATTAATATTGTAATTATTATATTTCTTTTATTTTAATTAATATTAAAAAATATAAAAATTATCATTAATTTTATTATTAGTATTACATATATTATTTTAATTAAATATTTACTTAAATAAAAGATCATTTTTATTTTTTAATATTAATTAATATAAAAATAATACAATAATTACATCTTCACATATACTAAATGTGCTATAACAACATATATTAAAAAAACCATCTTTTAATCACGTCAGCAAGTACTGCCACTTAGTAAAATTATAAATATCATATATTTTAATTAAAAATGTTTTAAATGTAATAATTTTAATTAGTTAAAAAAATTCATATGTTATATATTTAATTTTACAAAAACTCGGTGATTATGACTTCCAAAAGGAATTGGTCCAAGTTAGACGGGTGGCATGGGGTAATATCTCTCGTGATGTATTTAAATTATTTAATTTAAATAATTTTCGTCGACCGCCAACAAGAGGCGCATCTGGTGTAGTGGTATCATAGTACCCTCCCACGGTACTGACCGGGGTTCGATTCCCCGGATGCGCAATCTTAGGCACTTTCAATGTTTTGGGCACTTTTTCCTCTCAATTTTCCTTTCTTCCTCTAAGTAATCAATTCTATTAGTTGGACCTCATATGAAAGGAATGGTTATGAATGGTTGACTAAGATCTCTGTATTTCCTCAATGAGATTTTTGCTTATTTTTGGACATCTACGCGATAAGATCAATGTGTGGTCATTGCACTAAAAATGCACTATAGGTAGTTAGTTAGTGGAACTCAAGAGATACACGCCTGGTGGGACTCGAACCCACAATCGTCTGATTAGAAGTCAGACGCCTTATCCATTAGGCCACAGGCGCTTGTTTTGTGGGAAGAAATCATTAAGGACCTCTTTGTTTAAAGAAAATGGAGAGGAGGAGCTCAATTCTCTCCCATGTCATTCCCTCTATTTCTCTTAAATCAACAAATGCCTTCTAGATCACTTTGATTATCAAAAACATTGTTATTGGAAGAAGCTTGGGGCTCAACTCTTTTGCATAAACGCTGGGCTTGAAATTGCACTCGTACAAAAGCTAACTGTTTGTGAAGCATGGTGCAACCAAGAGGGAACCTTTTGTTCTTTTTGATAATGTTCCCCCCTTTCATGGCTCTGCTTATATTCAGGACAGAGCTAGTTTCAATTTGCATGACACAAATATTTTTTGTTATATATATAACAACATACCATATAACAAGAATTACTTCTTATTTGTTACAATATTAAACTCAAAATTTTCAAAACAAGGTATTAGAACGTCCCTACAAAACATCACACATGCAAGATTAAATATTAAAATCTGCACAATAACTTTTTTTTTTATCTTGATTACATAATGAGAAACAATTATTTTTCATTTTTTACATTATTTTATCCACATATTATATGATTTGAACTCAATATCTTTTACTTTTAGTGAAAAAAAATTATTAAATTATTTAGATAATTGACATATGAATAATAACTTTAAATAAGTAAAATACGATTTCCTAATTAGACAGAACAAAAATAATATCGCCAATCAAAAACCAGAATGGTACTCAGTAAAATGCACCGATATGCATGTCAGAGTCTTTGAGGCCTACCATTTTTCACATTTATTTTGAAGGCCTCTAACATTATTTAATTTTCCCTTTCGACCAAAGAATTTCTAGAAATTCATTTGGCCCCCAACGTCATTCCCGGAACGACCTTCTGGAACGCCGGCCTGGAAGAAATATCCTCCCACCACGCCTTCACATGGGGACGCTCGTTTATCAGCCTCGCGCACGGTGTCTTCATGAAATAGAAAGTCAGACCCAGGTGGTGCAGATCCGCCAGGCTGAAGAAATCTCCGGCGAGGTACTTGGCGCCGCTCAGCCTTTGCTCGTACACGTCCAGCACTTTCCCTAGCTTTCCCGAGCTCTCGTCGATGATAGCCTGGTCCGGCGAGCCACCACGCTTGGGCACGATGAAGTACTGGAAGAAAATCGGAGACACCGCAGGACTGTACTGCTGCGATTCCACCTCCATCCACACCTTCACCATCGCCGATTCCTTGATGTTACCGTGGCGGATGAGATCGCAGCCGCTGTCCTTGAATTTCTCGGCCAAGTACGAGGTGATTGCTCTTGATTCTGAATTAATCATCAAGAATGGTGGTCAATTTAATCTTTATAATCATAAATGATTTTATCAAAATAAATTAGCAAATACTATTAACAAAGCATAATATCATTAATTTACTAAATTAAAAACCGAAATAATTGATTTTTGAAGTTATCGAACATGTGAGGGTAGAAACAATGCATATTTAAAATTAGCTTTCTATGCACGGGGAATGGCATCGTCTCACTATAGAATATACAATACTTGAGAAAAATAAAATCAACTTAATTTTTTATGTGAAAATCAAAAATTAAATCTTAAATTTATTATTAAAAATATAAATACTTTTATTACTTAATCACATAACTGACAATAAAATTAAACTAATCCAGTAATATATAAAACAAAAGTAGTGATAAGAGGAGAAAAAGTTAAAATTAACGAGGTGATTTATATTATATTATTAAATTAATTAATGTATATAATATCATAAATTTTAAAAAAAATTAAAAAAATTAATGTTGTGATTTATACCATATTAATAAAACAATTAATATATATAATATCATAAATTTTAAAAAAAATTAATTATTAAATAATATATGATTTTAAATAATATATATACCACGTTATTAGTTTAAAATTTTTACCTTATTTGTCATTATTTATATAAAAAATACATACATACATAAAAATTCATAAATCTTACCGGAGTAAAATGGGTAAATATAAAATTGCTACACAGTGCTTGGGAAAAGCTTACCAAAAATGGTAAAATCACCATCTTCTAATACCGGAACCAGACCAAAAGGCTGCAAGGGAAAATTTCAGATGATGTTATATATTTTCGTAATTACTTCTGATTCTAACTTCTTTTGATTTTTAAAAAATAAAAATTGAGAAATGAAACATATTTGAGACGACGTTTTGAAGGCTTTGGATTAAAAGAAAAGAAAATGAAATTCAATCCAAAACAATTTCTTTTGAATTATAATTTTTAAGAGCCAGATATGTACATATTCTCAAATGGTATAATGGAAAACAAATCATAAAAGAATTAAGGGAAGGATTTTTACGTTCTTTGCGACGAAAGAAGGTTGTTTTTGTTCGCCGGCTAGAAGATTAATGGGGACAAACTCAAAATCTATGCCTTTCTCATGGAGGCAGGTCAGAACCTTAGCGGTGCACGTCGACATTGGAGCTCCGTGTAGCTTGATCGTCATTGAGAGAAATCAGATGGAGATAAACACAACAACAACCGAGATATATTTAGAGAGAAAGAAGAAAATGTGAAAATGAGAAAGAAAGGAAAGATTAGAAAACTTCTTAATGTACAGAGATATATAAATATATAGTGGATTTGTTCTACAGTCTTCAGGCGTTAAACAGAGGAGCGAGTCTTTATATATAGTTCTAATGGCATGGCGTACGATATGGCTTTTTTTTTTTTTTTTTTTTTTTTTTTTTTTGTGACTTATTGTATTTTAATAGAAAAAAAAATGGCATTTAATACAAGTCTTCGGTTAGGAATTTATTTCAATTGAAATGTGGCTGCCGTTTTAAGTCATGGCCGGTTACATCCTTGCGTTTTAATCTCTTTTGGAAATGATTTTTGTAAAATCTTTTTGTCTTATCTTTTTGTATAATTTGACATATCATTAAAATGATTGGTTCTTTTAATTCATATAGAACCCGTGATATTAAATATATCTACTAATTTAATTACATGTGTAAATCGTATGAAAATGTGATATAAAAAAATTATCCTTATAGTATCACCCAATCTCTTTAGAGGTAGCACAAACTTATGGGTTATGATAGTTGTTGTAGACTTATGGAAGTGGTAATTGTTGTTGTTGTAAACTTATATTGTTGCTGTTGCATACTTATGGAATATGGTTGTTGTTGGAGACTTTAAGGAATATGGTTGTTGTTGTTGCATACTTAAGGAATAAGGTTGTTGTAAACTTATATTTGTTGTTGTTGCGGACTTATGGGATAGGGTTGTTATTATTATTATTATTGTTATTGTTATTTATTTTTAAGTGTTTCTAAATCAATTTTATATATTTTAAAATTAATTTTTTAAACAATCTTAACCTTTTATATTAGACAATTTTAAAAGAATATTACTATATCAATCTAATACATTAAAAAAATAATATATTTGTACTTTGGAGGGTTGGTATATTCTCTAGGGCACCAAGAGAGCAAAAGATGCAAAAAAAAAAATCATCAGGCATAAATAGTAAAGAGAGATTTCTTTCCAACCTTGCTCATATTTTGGTTGTGTTTTCTTAATATATTTTTATACTTGTTTATTTTATTTTAATAGAAAAGTGGATATCAGCTTGTATCGTAAAAAATTAAGTAAAAAAATATTTTAAAATTATATCATTTTAATAAAAGATTAAAATATTTTAATTATTTTTAAAGTAAAGATGATGATATTTTAGTTTTTTTTTTCATTTTGTTTCATTAAAACAATGTAGTTATAAAATATTTTTTTACTTAATTATTTATAGGTCTAACTGATAAACATTAATCTTTTATTTTAATTCATTAATAATTTTAATAATCATTATTTTTGCAATCAAGTCTTATTCTCAATTAAGGAGGGTTATGGGCAATCAAATTTTGCGTCTACCCTGCTTCTAGAGTGGGATTGCCCCTCCCTAAATAGGGATACTACAGGTAATAAACAGAAAAGAAATGCTATGTGTATTTGGCGTAGACTAGTGTTTTGAAAACCTGGATAGAATGGTTGGACTGGTTGAATCAGTAACCTGTATCATAAACGGTTCAAAAATAATCTTTAGAACCATTTGAGTGGTTCAACCGCTTGGAATCATCAAAACCGTACGATAGACCTTAGAATGAATTTTTTGAATCTTTTTGCTTCTCAGACCACTAGACCCCCTGTTGAAAAGAGTTGCACAAATTTTTATTTATTATCTTATACAAGTTAATAAAAACTAAAATGATGGACATATGGCATTGCCTTTGAGTTAAACTCTCAACCTCCCTGTTGAAGAGAAGAGATCCTCCCCTAGGTATGAAATATAATAAATGACATGCTTTTATGTTAAAATATATTTATTTAATGTAAATAAATAAAATATATTAGTTCCAAATTTTAGAGGCTCAAACTTGTGACTTAATAAGTGACAAAATAAGCTTCTACCATTTCACCCATTTCAATTCTTATAACATATTTTATATAATAATATATTTATTAATCAAACCAATGATTTTATCAATTAAACCAATTGAATTACCTAAAGTAAAAATTGAAGGTCAAAATACTTTGACTTCTGGTTCAATTTTTAAAACATTGGCATAGGTTCGAATGTAGAAACGCTACTCTCCTTATTGGTCTTCTTTTTTTTTTTTCTTCTTTTCTTTAAAAAATTTGAATTCAAAAAAATTTACAATTGGGCTAATGGAAACCAGAGTGGTAGCTGCACTCTGACACATTTCTCTTAGACAAGGAGGGCGGATTCACTCCAGTCCTGCCTTAAGCCTAAAAAGTAAAAGAGGAGAGTTCAGCGCAATCAGTAATCAAAACGGGTGCATGAAAATTATCACACCCATGTATTAAGGGCTAAACCAAGAAAGTAGAGGCCTAACCACGTAGGGGTGCTGGTTCATGTAGAATTTTTTCATAATCCTTCTCCAGGCATCAACTCGACTCCGCGAACCACATTAACCCCATCATATCCATCAAATTTTGGCCTACCATCCCAAGTCATATGGTCACGGTAACTAAAACACTTCAAGCCGCATAGGGCTGCGTTATGAGAGGTTTTGCCATGCACAAATGGAGTGCTAATGACTCAAACAACCCAACAATAAGAGATACTGAATTCAAATTATACAACATACAAATGACGCACGTATGATATCTACATATGGACTTTATTTGAAGGGTCTCCGAACGTCTGCCATATCGGCAACGTTTATTGATCCAATTCAAATGATTTCCGACGCAGCCCTGTCCTAGGACCTAAGAACATAACAATCTGGATACCTCAACAATCTCAAAAGCCCCATATTAATCAAGGGCCCATATGAAAAAAAGAAAGAAAGACTCGTATTAATCAACTTGCATTAATATGAGCTTCTCATCAATTGTTCTCAACTCAAATCCAGATTTCGCGGCTTCTTTTTTTTTTTTTTTTTTTAAGTAACAGACTTTACAAATCTAACGTGGTACATATTTACAAATTATATAATACGTGAATTAACATAGAAAAGAGTTTAAGATACAATACAGGCAATCCCCTTAGAAAGGTTGTTCTGGCTTCAAACAGTTGTGATACTCCAGCTGAGTCATTTCCCCACCATTCACTGGATCAAACTGACAACGGTAGAAGCTGCATTAACAATAATTTGCTTATTAAAAAAAAATGCATCTCCAATTAATTTCTCATTCAACATGAAAAAAAACAAAAACAAAAACAAAAAACAAAAGAATATATGTTGCATGCATATTAATCCTAAAGACTAAAAGCTAAGTGATATAAATGTCCATGTTGCAACAGTACAGGTACAAGACAAAAACCTGGAGACAATCAAATCACCACACCTTTGGCCATATTAAGATGAATCATTTCAATTATCCAAAATGCTTGAGGAAATTTCCTGGAACTTACATATGCAAAATTTTGTGCCTCTCCTTTCAAGGAGCTCTTGAATGGTAGCTAACAAATTGTACCATGAATATAAAAGAACTTCAAGAACCAATAAATGATTTAATTGTAAAATGCAGAGCCTCAGCATATACCAAGCTAACTGTAAAAGCCCCTAAAAGGCCCATTTGTCATCTTAAATGATAGCTATTTATCTATTAAAATATTAAATCAAAATTCAACAAAAGAACATTTAATATATATATATATATATATATAGTGTTGCTTGATGAAAAGATGACCAGCTGATGATATGTTTCCTCTTACCTGCCATCCATGCCAAGAATAACCACAGTGTTCTTCTGGTGACCAAAAGCAACAAGGTATTGAGAACCTTCAACTAAACGGAACTGAGCCACTGACCATTCTGAGCTGAAATACTTGGGTAACACCCCTGCACACAGAAAGAAAACTCACAAATATAAGTGCCTGACAAAAATAACACTCCCAAGCATTTCAAGAGATCATGTCAAATGCCTTGCTTTTGGTGTATCTATCAATTTGTTGCATTCCATTTTGGTACTAGTTTTCTAAGTGCAACATCATCCAACCAAAAAAGTATTCCGTTTCACTTTCACATGGCACTTAGTTGTTAGGAAAACATCTTCCCAAAATAAAACCATCCCAGCGTTCTTCCAAATGATAAATCTTATTACATTGCAAGCTTCAAACTTTGGGAGCAACCAAAAAGTCAGTATCTCAATGAAATTATTCACGTTCCAGGTCAACTTTTAAACAGAACTCAACAATTGAACAAAATTAAATGATTAAAAGTACGACAAGATAAAAAGCCTATAACACCTAACCCAGTGAAGAAGAGGAAGTAAAAGAAGGCACTTTCACCTTTGATGAAAGAGAGAGACGAGCTGGGGGAACTAACAGAGTCTGATCCAACTCGTGGTCTGTCATTGCTTGGAGATCCAGAATTAACCTTTAGGCTGAAAACATGCACGGTGCCCTTGTCACTTGAAACTGCAAGCCACTGGGCATTTGAAGAGAATGCCAAACTATAAATTTCAGCTCTATCTGCTCCTCGTCTCACCTAAATTTAGATTCCAAGGAAAAAAAAAAAAGTATCTGGAATTAGTAACATAAGAATCATGAGCCAATATATATATATCCAAAGCCACAGTATTCTTGAAAGTTGAAACTACTTAGAAAGTAGAAACCAAAAGAAAAATGAAATTCATACTTATTGTTGATGCCTAACAAACCAAATTATTCATTAAAGCCTTAAAATGCAAGTCTGAATACAGACAATATCCAAAATAGAAGACAGAAAAACCTCTTAACCTTCGTTTTGTGAAGTAAAATACATATCCCAAGTCCCAACACATGCATTCACACATCATGCTGGAGAAAAAGAATATAAAATTTAAAAAAGCCACTTTCAAAGGATGCTAATTGGGATACTTCAAATGATGAATATTAATTCAACTTTGGAACTTGGGAACAAGAAATGAAACCATTACAAGATTTATATAAATCCCAATCTAACTACGACCAACTTGGCGTAAAGACAGATACTGAAAATAGTTAATTTCAAAATTTCTGTTCTATGAGAAGTTGCATTTTGGCAAATCATCAGCATTTCACTCTTAATTTGGTAATTTAACTATCAATCACGTACCTCCTGCAGCAAGCTCCCATCTACCGTGTTGAAAATTCGAACCAGTGTTCCCTTGGTGCTAGCAGTGGCTAGCAATTGACCATCCTGAGTGAGCGCGAAGCAAGCAATCCTAGAATCATGCGCCATAATGAACTTGGTCCTCTTTGAGTCATAGTGTTCCACCCTGACCTGCCCCTTCTGCAGCCCGGGACACACCAGCACCAGCGACCCCGCCCCTTGAGACACCGCACAGAGCCCCTTGGGATTTGCAATTGTCTCGATCTGATGCAGCAGCTTCAAATCCGCAAAATTATACACAAATATCTTCTGTTCCAGAACAACAACAATCCTGTCCCTCCGCAGCCGCACGGATCTCACTTCCGACCTGAACGCCAGCTCACCTATGCACCGGCTCTGATGATCATCCCAGATCATGACCTTATTAGACGGGTACTGCGGTTCCGGCCCTCCACCGACCAAAGCCAAGATATTGCATCGAAAGAGCATCTCAACAACCCCGATACCACCTCCACGATCGAAATCACGGCGAAATATCTCGCGAAATGGGTCGCAATTGTAAATCCGAAAGCCATGATCGGTACCAGCAGCAAAGCATCCATGGTCCTGATTAAACGACAAATGAAGAAGCGATGGCGGAGTGGTAGTAGCGGGAGAAGCAGGCTCGGGAGGAGATGACACAGGGGTGTGGTAATTAGGGTTAGGGTTATGAATGTGTTCGGAATCCTGAGATTGGTGAAGCATCGGAGAGAGGGAATCGAGGTTTTGAGGCGGAGATTGAGAGGTTTGGTCAAGGAAATTAGAATTAGGGGTGGGGTAAGCGGAGAGAGTAGCCATTTTCGGAGGAGGAGAAGGAGGGATCTAGAAGGTGAAGAAAAATGGAGGCTGGGGAAGAAGAAAAGGAGGAGGAAGAGAGAGAATGAGATTTTTTTAAAAATAAAAATAAAAATTACAGTGGGGACATGAAAACATGAAAACAGTTGCTGTCGTTTTTTGAGTTGGTTCTGCTATTCTGTTTGTGTTCTGTCATGTACTGTTTGTAACGGCGAATGTAAAACCAAATTTTAAAAAAAATTAATATTAATTTTTGATATTAAAAAATAAAATAATTAATTTAAAACTAAATTATGTAAGACTTGTAAAAAAAGATCTGTCCATTCTTGAGAGATGAATTTTTTTGTTATTAATTTTTTAATATTTGATAATCGCATTAATTTTTAATTTATTTAAAATTAAATCACATTAAACTTATAAAAGTTTAATTGAGCTATTTTTATTTCTATTCAATCAACATGTTAAAGTACTTTTAAAGAAATGATTTAATAATTATAAACTTGAAATTTAAAATTTAAAATTTCAACTTTCAAATTTAAATAGTGTGAGAGGGATTTAAAAAATTTTAAAAAATATTGTTTTGAGATATCTGTTATTATTATTTGATGTATAAAAAAAATTAACATGTTATTAATTTTTTAAATGAAGATTCATGAATTCCAGGATACGTAATAAACTGACGCACGCGTTTCCGTGTCGACAAGCGCGGGTGATGTTTGCTTCGTTCCTACGACAATTTCGCTCCAGTCGGCAGTCAGTCTTCATTCTCTGATTCTTTCTCTGCTTAGGTAAAGCCTGGCCCAAATT